TGTCAAGTCATATGAGTGGAATGAGTGGGAGCTTAGACGAAAAGCTCTCAAATTGGTGAGACACGTTCATTTATTTTTCTCACTTTGTAGTCTGATGTGTGCTAAGTGTTGAAACCTATAGTAATACTTAACGGTGTTATAACTTAAAAGTATGACATTTTCTACAAACAGCGTTAGGTAATATATTAAACTTGGGTTGCTTGTAACCTTTTTCAGAGAGAAGTGTTTGTCATTCATTTAAAATGTACAATGTAAACTGTTCTGTTTTTGAATGATTCATGAATGTGAAAAGACTTATCAGCAGTAGCAGAATATCAAAAGTCACAGAACAGAATAGTAGTATTGGAACAGTTGAGAGGCCACCCTGCCTGGAGCTGTCCAGTGGATTGCACAGATTTGTCACTTCCAGACAGGTTCAGCCCGTTTAATCACTTTCCATAAGAAAGCCACAACTCAGGGTGGAAAAAGCCATAAAGTAAGCAGCGGATCATGGCCTAGACTCGGCATTGTTTATCCCACTCAGTGAGTCTACAGGTTAGATTAGTCTCACGTTTGTGAAAGGCATTGGAGGCAGACAATGGAGATGGAGAACCTCAGGAGCCCACCTGATGGTGACGAAGACCCTCAGGAGACCCTGGAATTCTCTGTCAGCCACGGTCAATTCTGACTACCTTCTTTCTGGCCCATAAAAAGGGAGTAAATGGGCTAAACCTTTCTGGAAGTGGCAAATCTGTGCAATCCAACTGGACGGCTCTAGGCAGGGCATGGAAGTAAGTGTCATGAACGAAAACAAACGCGCATATGCAGGGTGGCCATCCGACGCTCACAGTTATAGTAGCTTTTTGTTTGATGTGTCCTGATGCTCTTTCTTTCTGTCTCCATGTTTTACAGTTTTACAATTTGATGTGGTTTTATCAGAAGTTACATTTTCCTTCATAAGTGTCTTTTCTGATTGTGCTTGGATTATCTTTTCAATTACTGTATGTGCTATAGTGTTTTTTTTTTCTTATATAATTTTCTTGTGTACTTTATAATAGAACTTCATAGACCTCATAGCACCCCAATGACATGCAGAAATGGTCACATTTACACGTTTTAGCAGATATTAGTTTACTGTACATTTATACTTACTATAAACTTACTGCATTTATAGTAAGTATTTTAAGTGCTTAAAGTCTTTGTGTGTATGTTTGTGTGTCGATGTGTAACTTTGCTGCTTTTATTAAGAATGAATATGTTAATTTCTTGGAACAAGGCGTCCCACGGCAGCCTCAGGTTCATCTTTACCTGTACAGCTTTTGTCATTAACAACCCTTCTCTAAATGAACATTGTGCTGTCTGTGTTCTGAGCCTATATCCAGTGAGCTGCAGTTCTCTGGGAGAAATACTTTGTTGATATTAGTTATCAGAGGAGAATGGCCTAATATCTTTGGGCTGGACAGGAACTCTAATAACCACTTATTACATCTAATGAATGCAGAAAGGTCTCTTTGAACACATCACACTTTGAATCTGGTACAGTATGTATGTGCTCAAAAAAATTATCGGATAGAATAGAATAAACAGACACGATAGAAAATAGCCTGGTCTGATGAGTCTAGATTTTTGCCACAACATTTGAATGTAATGTAAAAATGTGGTGTAAACACCATGAACAGGACATTTAAGGCCAAACAAACAGACTGAGAAAAAGCACATACACCAGGGCTGTTGCATTAATAAATGCAGGGAGATAAATCAATGCAAAAACACAACCTTCAACTGTGCAATATTTTCTTTTCTTTTTTCTTTTTAGCTGTGCAATATTCTTCTTCTTCTTTTAACTGTGCAATATTTCCAAGGAACCGTGCAATATTCTAAGGACTGAATCACTGTGTGTATTCTCACTTGTTCATTCTGATACACAGTCTTGTACATACTATATATTTTTTTTCTTTGTTTAAAATTTATTGTACAGATATACTTCTTTTTCTTAAAAGTGCCCTTTTTTTTTTTACTTGTACTGAACGGGTTTGCATACAGTTTTCGTTGATCGAAAGCACACTGACAGTAAAGATTGTGGTTCTGGAAACCCTGATCCATCTTGCCTTGGATCAGCAGCCCAGGTTGCTCCTGGTGGTGGTATAATGGCATGAGGGATATTATCTATGCATACTTTGAAGTCCATTAGTAGCAACCAAGCATTTTTTTAAATGCCTGGGTAGTATTGTTGACCTTTCCCATCCCTTTATAGCCACAGTGTAACCACCTTCAGATGGCTTAACACATCCTGTTACAAAGCTTAAATCATCTCAAAAGGATTTTATGAACATGACAATGAGTTGTCATTGTAGCACTGAAATGGGCTTCACAGTCACCATCGCAGTCCAACAGAGTACTTTTAAGAACTTTTATAGTGGATTATATAGGATAGGATTTCGAACGGGATTTTCATCATGTATGTGGAAGCCAATGAACGTGTAGCAGCTATGTGATGCTATTGGACCAAAATCCTAAAAGGATTGTTTCCATCACCTTGTTGAGTATATGCTACAAGAACTGAGGGAGTTATGAAAGGCAAACTCTAACCTGGTACTAGCAAGATGTAACTAACAAAGTTAACTGGACCTTACTGTATTACAGTGGTTTCAAGAGTTGGGTTCTGTTTTGTTTGTGTCTCAATGCACGACTTTATTTACTGACCTTTCATTTCCATGCTTCATATCTCTAGGCCAATCTTCAGACCAGAGTTACCGTTTCAGTACAGACTGACCTGAGTCACATGAGGCGGGAAAATGTCACTCAGACCTGGCTTCCTAAGAATGCTGCCTGTCAAAGCAAGAGAGATGGTGCAAGCCAAGTGCCTAAACCTCAAACCTTTGTAGCAGGTCTGAGAGGACAAAGGGGTGCACATGTTGTCAAAGCAAACCTGACCAGATCTGTGGATGATTAAAGAGAAATAGTTAACAAAATAAAAGTTGATGTAAGAATCTTCTTGTTGTTTTTATCCTTTTTCTTTTATATAGCCTATACCCTCTGGACACACCACCTGCAGTGCTTTTGTTTACAGCACTTGACCCTAAAATTTTAAACCCTGGAAACATGATTCCTGGACTACACCAGACAAGATGCCTAGCTCTAGTTTGAAGGTATGATTCTGTGGCACTATGCAGATCAGCATCCACTAACCCCGCTCTGTGATTTTACATGCCTAACAAGCCTAGGTGCTTGATTTTATACACCTGTGGCTGTGAAAGGGGCCATTGGAAGACCTGAATTAAATGATTTGGATAGGTGAAAGCTCTCACATCTCTCTCTCTCACTCACACACACACACACACACACACACACACACACACACACACACACACACACTATTAATAAAGTCTGTGTGATTAGTTTCAGGTTCATGCTCCGGTCACAGCTGGCTTTTTTGATACACCTGGGGTATTGCATGTCATGTTAAACATACATTATATCTTTGTTAAGAACAGCAGAAACTGATCCAACATGCCCCAATTTCTCCTTGTTTATCTGAATGCAAGTAGCTACCCTTTGTAACCAAAGAGTCAGGAAGTGTATCTGAAAGTGATGCAGGTCTGTGGTGGATATTTTTCAGAAACAGACACAGGAAACAATAACTAAAACTAAAACCAGGACAAATTGAATCTTGACATTTGCAAAATCATAAATAGCACTCATTTAGTGATCTTTAATTCCAAAAGGCAATCACTACCTTTAATGTAATGGTTGCACAGGAGATACTGTGAGCAGTGTCTAAGTACATAGCTTGTGCATCTTATTAACACAGGCAGTTAAAAACGCCATCCTTTGAAGCAAGTGGTCGTATACAGTCAACATCATATACATTATAATAATCTGTAATACAGCATGCCTTATTCCATGTCTTGGTTTTCTTTGTAAGCTTTGCATTTTTGTATCACTTGGAAGCATTTTAAAACACACCTTCTTGCATTGACACTAGCCTAGAGCTTCACTTAATAATGTGAACAGTAAGATAAGACAAGAGTGCATACACAGATAGTGACTACATTAACATGAGGCTAGGAGCGGTGTTTAAAACAGTATGAGCATCATAATATCACAGTATGATTTAAGCACGTTTTCTTTTTCCCCCCTTAAAAGGTACACAGTGAGTACGAGACTATTTTATTTTGGGGGAAATTATCTGCTCAAACAGCCAATACGATGGCTGAAGCTGCAGCCGATGCACAAGTTCATGAAGATGGAGTACTGGCAATGGCCATCAGATGCTGGCTGCACAGAAATCTCCAACTGCATAGAATTTCATTGATAATGTCCCAAACTGTCCAATCCATGTTTTTCACATCAAGATTGATTCTCCAGAGCTAAAATCCTTCCTCTGTTAAAATCCATCAAAAAGGTATTAAGGCTAGAATTGTATGTTTTGGACCACATTTACTCGTTTGACAGGTGTCACAGCTATCAGGTGTCAGTCCTGGTGGATCGTGTTTCCACTGACGTCCATCCATTTGATTTTCCAGACTGCAGGGAAGGGGTAAACCAAGTCAAATCAAGATCTGTAATGTCACTGCCACAGACAATCTACACCTCCTAAATATGTTCGTTTAAGGTACAATACAAGGGCCGATGCACACTGACAGTAACAGCAGTCCATTTTATACTCTCAACCCATCGTCTCAACCATGTTTCATGGAGAATATGCAATAGACATTCCTCTTTCATTATGGCTCTTCTTCCATTCTATTTTCATTCTTTCATTGAGAACAGGTATAGTTACTGACCCCTCATTCAATACTTAGGAGACAATATCAGGCCCTGAGATAGTGTTAAAAGAGGTCAGACATTGTACAGAGACAATGGCTAAGGTTGGGGATCATGCACAGACAACATGTGGCATGTTTTAGTCACATTTCAATGCACATTTTAAGAATCAATTTTTAGTAGGCAACATGACAACTAACACATCATAAGAAAGTCAGGCCTTTATGTTTTAATGTTCCACACAGCATTTTTTTTCTGTTTTCATATTTATTATGCTTGAGACACGGATGAAGTCACAACAAAGTTGTACGTCTGTGTGTACACATAAGACCTCATTTAAGACACCTCCAATTCTGTCACTGACATCCAAACTTTCATCACACATCTAACAGTGCCAGTTCTGTTTTTAAGTCTAATTTTTTAATGCTAACACTTTTGAATCTGGAGAGTGATCTGCATCAGCTTATTTTTTACAATTTCATTTGGTTCTTTACAAACCACATCATCTGCATGGTTGGACACATTGGTAATTGCTGCCATGTCTAAATGTTTCTGGATCATTTCTAAAAGCGGGGCCCCGTGTAGATGGTCAGAACAGTTTCTTGTAGCTCCGCCCATGCCAAAACTTTATATGTTTGTTTATATTTCATTTCAAATTCAAGTGAAAGTGCAGTGTACAGAAGAAACAGTGCTGACTAACAACTTGTGGTTGTATATGACATGTACTGTATACTATGACAAAACAGAAAATTCCCTTTCCCACTTGGACAATTGAAATCTCTCCATGGGATACGTGTGTATCTTTATAGATTATAGCTGAGTACAGTACAATTGAGAAAAACAATGGACATAGCTGACAACTTTTACTATAACTTAACAATCATTTGTCAAAGAACAATGACAGAAACCCTTCCAGGTCTTGATTTATAGAAAGTAACATCTATGCCTCAGATCCATAGAGCCCATTGAATATGTGACCATTACTGTATATATCAAAAAGGAAAGGTTCTGTCCTTGCTCAAGCACACACAGGAATAAGGGAGAGGCACTAATGGTGGTATTTAAAAACCCATCTGTAGGATCATGCAGAGTCTATCTTAATATGGAGATCTGTATCATGGGTTTTGTCATCCTCGTTCTCTTTGGTGTGCTCCTGTATAAGCCCATTTTGCAGCTTGCAAGCTTCCACAAACAGTGGAAAATCCGACAAACTGGTGTTGCATTCCTTGTCTTCGTTTTCATCCTCTCCTTCGTCTTTTCTTCTTCCTTCATCTGTCGTAGGTATGCTGCAGTCAAAAGCAGGTATGCTGTAACCGTACGCTTCACTATGAGGCCGGCGAGTTTCATCTGGGATGTTTTTCTTTAGGTCTCTATTCCTGTTACGCTTGGCTAGCTTGGTGACGGAGCCAAGGCGATTAAAAATGTTGTCCTCAGACATGGTTTGGGAGCTGGAGCGTCGGTCACACTGTTCGGCCTCTCGCAGTCGAAGGTTGTTTAGCTTAGTGTCGATACTTTCCTGGGAAGAAGTCTTATAGTTGTTGGCATCCAGACTGTTGAAGATGGCACGCCGTTCTGGGAAAGCATGTCCAGGGACACAGCACGCTGGTCCAGGCCTAGCTGCCGTCTCTCCATGCTTCGGATGGTTGCAGCTCGCTGTAACTTGTCGTGGACTTCTATGCTCATGCGCCGGCGTGTCTCTCTGAACTCAGCTCGAACATTTGCTTTCCACTCAGCTGCATGAGCTTTGATCTCTCCAACCTCAGGAAAAGAATATTGTCAGATATAAGGTTTAGTAAATATACTGCACTAGGTTCCCTTTACCTTATTGTGTGCACCCACCTGCAGAGCCCCTGAAAACAGAATGTCTGTTTTCTTATCACATGGTAATCAGAAACATACTTCTCTGAGTACTTGGAACATGAGACAAATTAGATTAGATGTTAATTCAAAACAGAAGGGATTCTCACTGGAATATGTCACCAGTCAGAAATAGGTTGAACTGTAAGGATGAATAACTTTGGCAGGCAAAATCTGACTAAATACAACTTAATGTATATGACAGAATAAACAGCTGTATAGTAAAATTATGGCAATTTGGTGGCACCCAGATTAGAGGTTTAATGTGAAAACGTACCTCTTCTTTTGTCTTTTTGGACAGCACCCTCAGCCAGTCACTGATCATGTTCAACACTGCAGCAAAATAAGCCAGGCCACCCAAGATCCAGAACCACACTAGCGGTCTGTACCACTCCGGTACTCAATTCTCCGGTCTCCACCTGATCAGGAAAAAACAAACAAACTTGTAACTTCCTGCAGGTGTCCTCTCCCGAACCTTTCAGGGATTGAAAGGGGGGAATTCATGTATTTTGTTTTATCTGTTTTGGGTCCACAAGCACAGACAAAAACATAACTGGCATAAGTATTTGTTATAGGAGCAGGTGTTGTTTTTTTCTTTATTAGGAAATGTCACAACAGGACCGAGGCCTTCATCCATTACAGGTAAACCTGTCCTTAATGGAGAATTGACATTTCAGTCCAGGGCTGATTTTAGTCTTTGCACAGAATAAAGACAATGCTATCTGACAGTTATAAAATATGTTGAATTACCAATGTGCAGAAGACAATTTACATACTGTTACTAAAAATTGTGGTTGTAAAGCAATCTACATATAAAAACACCAAAGCAGTGACTCAGTTACTCATTACAGTACTTCAGGCTTCCCAAAGTACTTGGAAAACTAGGTGAAGAGGAGCTGAGCTATTGCTTGATCACCACTAAGTACACCAAGTGAAGGTGTACTGAGAGCATCTGGCAGAGGCTTTGGTCCACGAGATCTTCGATTCCAGTCTCCAGGAGTGCTTCAACAGCATTCCTGGAGGGAGGAACCAGATGGTGGACAGTGGAGTTGAAGGGAGCTGTCAAGCTAAAGCGTGAGTCCACAGGCTAACTGTGCCATTCCAGGAGGCAGCTGACAGGTACTGGCAGGCTAAGCACAGTATGGCTCTGGCAGTAGCTGAGGAAATCTTTGATCCAGGTGCAGGTGGCATGGGGATGTGGAAGTGGTCCAGTTTGGTGGTGAGGATGTCTTGTATTATAGTATTGAACACTGAGCCGTAATCCATGAAGAGCATCCTCACCATAGCTCTTTCTGTCTGTGAAGGTTCTCAGTCATCCAGGTTATCGTAGTCAAAGGAGCTCTCATCTGAGAAGCTTCTTCAGTTCTGAAGAATCTTCTCAGATGAGAGGTGAAACGTTTCAAGCAACTCAAAGAAGTCCAGACGCTTTTCTTTGCAAGCTCCTTTGACTACGATGACCTGGATGACTGAGAACCTTCACAGACACATGTCAAGTGCATTTATACACTCTGAATATAAACATACTATGCTACAAAAGCACAATGTACATTTGTAGATGACACTATATATTTCTTTATTCTTTTTTTATTCCACTGGTTCTAAAGTTGTTCTGGCCTAGAGTGCTTTTGATGTGTTATGTTATGTGTTATGTTAAACTCTGCTGAGTGTTAAAATACTCAGGACCCTTGTTGGATGATAGACTCACTTTTAAAATCCAAGAGGAACACCCTACAAGAAACTTTTCATCAGATTTTCATATAGAAACAAATCTTGTTTCTCATTCACAAGTTGTAAGATCTTGTCTGTGCTTGATTATGAGATATTGTTAGTGGATTACCTGCTTTAGATTTATCCAAAACAACCTAATTGTTGGTGTGGTGTTCTGTGTGAATAACAGAGTGTGAATGACAAGGACTTACCTGCCACATAGTCACCTATTCCAACTGTTGTCAGAGTAATGACGACAAAATAGGTTGACTCCAGAGCTGTCCAGCCCTCAATGTGCTTGAAAATCACAGCTGGGATGGTGACAAACAAGATGCAGCCAGCCAGGATAAAGAGCAGCGTGGATGCCACACGGATTTTAGTCTGACTGATTTGGTTTTGTTTATTCTGAGAGGTAAAAGCAGGAGAGGAGAGGGAGAAAGAGAGACATACACATTCTATCAGGAGTATAAGTTATTAAACCAGTCTCATTTTCAGCAGGGCTCTAAGTGTGACTGTGATCTGACAGAGGATTTTGTTCCTCATCTCTTCCCACTTAGATTAAGATGCTTCTCGGACGATCACCTCAGCGTGGGAAAAGGCAATCTCGATGAAAGGGGTGATGCTACTTTTGTGGCAGCATCACCCTGCTCATTGAGATTCCTCGTTCACCTTTTGGTTTCCCGTGCATAGTCCGTGAATAGTCATAGTCTTCCCGTGCATTTGTGTGGCTTATATTCTTCACTTCTGCCAGCCAGCCATCTCCATTCAAGTCTCCAATGACTGCGTCTCAGGAAACTTCCTAACTTACCTCTCAACATATTTCTGTCCATCTTTGACTTTGTCAAAACCTTAAATTGTTTCATGGACAGATATATCCTGCATTTGAGTCTGCCCGTTTTTGTGAATCTATTCTACATGGAATAAATTAAAGTATCTTAATAAGAATAAGTTGAAATGATTTTGTAAACCGCCAAACCAACACATTATTGCATAAAACAACAAGGTTTCAACTTTTTTAGTTTAGACAATTTATGTGTTAGGGTCTTGGTCTGTTACCCAGTTATTTTAATTGAGTTTTGTGGGATTTCTGGTCTAGTTTTCTTTATGTAAACCTGCGATTCTTGGTTTTCTTTGGATTATATTAATGTATATTTTTCTCTTACTGTATCAATTCTGTTCTTGTTCCCTAGTTTTGTATATTATATTTTCCCTTAGTGTTCCATCCTTTTATGTCAAGTCTTCATCAAGGATTTCCCCGTTGTTTGGTTATTTCGTGTTTTATTTATTTTATTTATGTTTTCAGTTTTAATTTGCTAGTATTGTTTTCCCTCATGAGTTAAGCTGTGTTCCAGGTGCGGCGGAGGTGTGGTCTCGGGCGCGGCTGCAGGGAGGAGTGGTGCAGTGAGCTCAACTGGGCGGTGCTGGAGACGCAGGTGAGAACAGCTGATGGCGTTTGGACTGATGATGGTTTCCTTCCCTTTTATAGTGAGACGGGAGAGGAGCGGAGGCAGAGCTGGAAATCAGCTGAGACCGGAGCTGTCAGACTGTGGACGGTCATAACAAATGAAAACTAGAAATAAACGTGGCATCTGGCGACAAACAACTGTGCGTGTGTGTACGTGTGTGAAGTGCATTTCACACCAGGTGTCACCACTCTGCCTTAACCACCCTTTTGTGTATTTATAGTTGCAGTCTTCCCTTTTATCTTTGTCTGATCAGCTGTTGTTTATCCTTATTTTTACTGTGTTCCTGCTCCCGGCTTTGTACCTGTTCTCATCCTTCTTATTCTGCAGTGTAGATTATTATTAGTTCCTGGTTTTCAGTGTTTGACTTAACGTTACTTTTTTGGATTCAACTACTAATCTGATAATAAACAGCTCACTTTAAATTTACCTGTGACTGACTCACACGCCTGCTTTGGGTACATGCATCTCTGGAGAATTACAACCCTTAAAAATACACAGCAGCTGTGTATTTAAACTGAACATAAATAAGTAGCATTTGAACAAATTCTACCCAGTGTGTTTCATTTTCATATATATATATATATATTATATAAATACAACATTTCAGTTTTTTATGTTAAACCAAGGACCCCACATGAAAAACATCTTACTGACGGCCATTTCATTTTAAAAGGCAATAAGTTACATAACACAACAGGACCACTGTGACTCACCCGAAACATTTCTCCACTTTGGCAATGCTTTTGACAAATATGGTACTAGCTGGTCCCAACACCTGCGAGGAGGAATCCAACAGCGGGATCCCAAATATTGCATACAGAATGCAGAAAATCTTCCCTCCCTCTGTGCTTGGAGCAATGTTACCATATCCTAGAGGGAAAAATGGAGATAGAGGGGGCTATATAGATCTACAATATGCAGGAAAAAAGCAGTTAAGCAGTTAGAAAAGAAGTTAGTGAGACATTCTACTTTGTATGTAAAGTTCATAGCAGGCATTGGGGTGGTTTACTAAAGACTGTTTAAACCCCTAGATCCTCCAGTCTACTGTACGTGTGAATACATGAATCCAGCTTATAGTGTAACACTCGGTAAGTTGGATGAAGTGGGAGAGTCTTCCCGGGGGAGAGAGCAGTGATTAGAGCAGACAACAAAGGACATGTAGATGAAGGGAAGAGAGGTGATGAGAAAGTGTTGTGTAGATATGGCGTTAAGGAGAGAAATGCAGATGGCAGTGGATTTTGTGAAAATGATGGAAATGACTGTGGTCAACACATACTTTGAAAAGAGTGAGTGACAAGCAGTGACATACAAGATGGAGGTAGCTGTAAACGCACACTACATCTAATGCAGAAGGTACAATTTGGAAGTGATAAGAGACTGCAACGTGGTGTCAGGGAAGAGTTGCCAGAAGACTGGGAAAGTACAGCTGTAGGGCTTAAGGAAACTACTAGCATGGTGTTTGATGTATCCACTGACAGAGGAACGTGGACAAGGAGACCTGGTAGTGCAATGAAGAAATTCAGGAGTGTATTCAAAGAAAATGTGAGACAGTCAGATGAAGTACACAAAAGCACTGGGAGGCAAGGTGTACAGGAAAAGAGGTGGCAGTGGCAAAGGAAATGCATTATAGTGAGCTGTATGTTAAGGTGGACACTAAGTGTGAAGGACTACTTTGAAGAACTGATGAATGAAAAAATAAGAGCACAGAAGACAAACGGAGGAAAGTTATTGAATCAGAAGTGAAGGGGTAAGTTTAGTATGGAGTTAACTTAACGGTGAGGCATCTATGAGGAGAATGAAGAGTGAGTTCGACCAGATAATGGACTGAGAGGATACCTGAGGAATGGAGCAGCATGTGATTGTATTGTATTGAGCTAGGTTAAGAGACAGGTGACGATCAGTGAGCAGTAGTATGACTTCATGCTGAGAAAGAGCACTACTACCAAGGAGGCTGTGTAGCAGGCAGCAGTAGGACCAAATACAGGACTTGAAAACACCAGGGTTAAACAACAGGTGGTTTTATTAAACTAAAACAAAGTACAAAACAAGGAAATCCAACCTTCAACTCCACAGGGCAACAAACGGAGATTCAGACAGCATACACACCAGGTAATTAGGGTGATTGGGAACATAGCTGATTGGTATCCGACTAACAAGACAGGGGAAGCAAAACTGAATATGACACAAATGAGACGGGATACTATCAAAATAAAAGAGGATGGAACCACACCACAAACTGAGTCCAAGACTGAAACACGTGAACTTGACACAGATACTGGAGCTAAACAAACATGCACATATGACTGACCGGGGAGACAAAAGCATAGCAAAACACGGAGACTACACAGACTACAACATGAAAAGACACAGAGAGGAGACTAGCAACAGACTTAATTGCCCTTGGGGATAATAAAGTCTCTCTGACTCTGACTGCTGGATACGAAAGTGAGCTGTAATAAAACAAGAGCCAGGAACTAGAAATAATAAACTCAAGACCTACTAATACAAAGATTGAACTTAAATTCAAAGAAGTGAATCAAAAGTCATGAATAAACCCAAAATGCTGTGCTGAAGACAAAGGACCATACCAACTAAATATGCAATGTGTGCTTTGAGATTGTTGATGAAGAAGTATAGAGAAGGTCAGAAGGAGCCAAAGTGTGTATTTGTGGATCTAAAGAAAGCATATGATAGGTTGCCAAGAGAAAAACTGCATTAGGAAGTCTGGAGTGGTAAAGAAGTATTTGAGAATGGTGCAAGACATGTATGAGGATAGAGAGACAGTGGTGAGTTGTTTACTACAGATAGGGTCAAGGTGGAAGTGGGATTACATCAGAGATCAGCTCTGGGCTCTTTCTTGTTTGCATTAGCGACTAACAGACTGACAGATAAGGTCAGTGTGATCTCTAATGAGAGTAGGAAGCAGGTGGATGAGAGCACGAATAGATGGAGGAATGAATTTTGTAGAAGCAAGACAGAAGATATGTGTGTGAAAGAGAGGGAAACTGGTGAAAAGGTGAACGAGATGGTAGTGAGGCCTGCTATAGTGCGATTTGGCGACTAGCACTGACAAAAAGACAGGAGACCGAGCAGGAAATGGAGCTGAAGATGGTGAGGTTTTCATCGGGAGTCACCAGAATGGATGAAGAAGATTAGAAATGAGTACATCAGAGGGACGACTCAGGTTGAGTGTTTGGAAGATAATGTTAGAAAGAAAGCCTGAGATGGTTTAAGCGTGTGAGGGCAGGGATAGTGAATATACACTACCAGTCAAAAGTTTGGGCACACCTTCTCATTTAATCATTTAATGGTTTTCTTTTTTACTACTTTCTACATTGTAGATACTGAAGACATCAAACATATATAGCAAGATATATGGAATTATGTAGCAAAGAAAGAAATGATAAATGCGCCAGATGGCCTGGCCTCTACAGTCACCTGACCTAAACTCATCGAGATGGTTTGGGATGAGATGGACAGCAGAGTGAAGGCAAAAGGACCAACATGTGCTCAGCATCTCTGGGAACTCCTTCAAGACTGTTGGAAAACCATTTCAGGTGACGACCTCATGAAGCTCATCGAGACAATGCCAAGAGTGTGCAAGGCAGTAATCAAAGCAAAGGGTTGCTATTTTGAAGAATGTAAAATATAAAACATGTTTTGAGTTGAGTTATTTCACACTATTTTGTTTACTACATAATTCCATATGTGTTCATTCATAGTTTTCATGCCTTTCTTGACTGACTGGCATTTGTATCCAGGAATGAAAATGCTGATTTTGTATGGAATTTATCCTTATATGTGGTGGGTTACACGTACACTGCATCCAACTTCCTTAAGTGGAGAGTTATTTCTGTTACTTTTTTATGTAAAGAGTCAAAAACCTCTATATTGCCCATGGCTTCCATATGCTTACATGCAGTTATACAGGCACAGTACTGAAGAATCTATTGAAGGATAAACTCTGGTGTATATTCAGAGGTTAAAGGTAATACAATGAACTATGCATTCCCTACATTGGACCATATTAAAATGTTCAGTATGTTCAGTTCAGTCTTTCCAAATTTTTATTACCTATAGTGGTGATGACAGTTCCAGCAAAAAAGAAGGCACTACCCAGATCCCAGTGGCTTGAGTTGTAGGAGGTATCACCTACAGGATTCACTCCAGCATTCACAGCCTCCACAGAGTGCTGAGAAGATAAGATAAGGAGAGAGAGAGAATCATGAAAAATGCTGACTGTGCTGTGGTGTTGATTCAGCTAAGTCTTCATATTTTAGTTCACTCTGAGGAGACAGGTTACACACAAGTGGCAACAAGAACGACAAGGCAAGACCTAAAAAGGGAATTGTTTTGTAGATTGTGGCACTTCACCAGTCCCTCACCCAGAGCAAACACCAACAGGCCTAAGGTCAGGGACTCAAAGTGCTACCTGCAGCCTTGCACCCCTGTTGTACCACCAATTCAATTCAATTCTATTCTATTCTATTCTATTCTATTTATATAGTGCTTAATCTAAACAGTTGCCTCAAGGGACTGTAAGTAAGGCTACTACAATAATATAATAATAATAATAATAATAATACATTTTATTTAAATAGCGCCTTTCAAAGCACCCAAGGACACTGTACAACAGATAAAAACTGGAAATATACACAATGATAAAAATAGAAGATAAAAGTTAAAAACATACAGAAATTTAAGAATAGGCAATTTTAAACAGATGAGTTTTGAGGGTGGACTTAAAAAGAGAGAATGAACTAATATTTCTGAGGTCCGGGGGTAGGGAATTCCAAAGTCGAAGGGCAGAGCAGCTAAAGACCCTCCCTCCCATTGTGATCAGACGAGCAGAGGGAACAGAGAGAGAAAGAGAAGATGAAGATCTGAGGCAGCGGGATGGGAGCTTCATCTGTAATAAGTCAGAGAGGTATGGTGGAGAGAGAGAATGAATAGCCTTGAATGTATACAGAATTATTTTAAAATGGATGCGAAATTTGACCGGGAGCCAGTGAAGTTGCTTCAGGATTGGGGAGATGTGGTGGGTAGAGGAAGTCCTAGTAATAATACGGGCAGCAGAGTTCTGGACACGTTGGAGCTTGTTGATAGATTTTTGTGTAAGGCCAAATAATAATGAGTTGCAGTAGTCAATTCTAGAGATAACAAGATTATGGATGAGAATGGCAGTGGCGTGAGGTGTGAGGAAGGGGCGGAGGCGATTAATGTTACGGAGTTGGAAATATGCTGCACGTGTAATATTATTGATATGTGAGTTAAAGGATAATGTGCTATCGAGAATGACACCCAAGCTTTTCACAGAGGGAGAGATAGGGACCAGCGAGTTATTGATGGTGAGAGAGAAATTGTTAATTCTGGATAGCAGTCGTTTAGTGCCAACCAGAAGAAGTTCCGATTTATTGCTGTTGAGTTTAAGAAAGTTGGAGGAGAACCAAGAATTAAGTTCAGCTAGACAGAGGATGAGGGAGGGTGGAGGAAGAGTAGAGTCAGGTTTGGTAGAGAGATAGAGCTGGGTGTCATCGGCGTAGCAGTGGAACTGAATATTATATTTACGAAAAATATGTCCGAGTGGAAGAAGGTAGATGATGAAAAGAAGGGGCCCGAGGACAGATCCCTGGGGCACCCCAGTGGATAAAGGAGAAAGCTGAGAAGTGAAGGATTTTAATTGAATGAACTGAGTGCGGTCAGATAGGTATGATTTAAACCAGGCTAGTGGAGTGTGAGAGAGACCAATAGAAGCTAATCTGCTAAGGAGAATGGGATGAGAGATGGTGTCAAAAGCTGCACTCAGATCAAGAAGGATAAGGATGGAGAGGAGACCAGAATCAGCTGCTATAAGAAGGTCGTTTGTTATTTTTATAAGAGCAGTTTCAGTGCTATGTAGAGGACGAAAGCCAGACTGGAACTGTTCGTAAAGGTTATTATCAGTTAGGTGAAGATGGACTTGTGAAGCAACTATTTTTTCAAGGATTTTTGAGAGAAATGGTAGATTGGAGATAGGACGAAAATTATTAAATATACAATACAACGCAATAATAGAAAACAGGGAAAACCCCAATAATCAGATTACCCTTATGAGCAAGCACTTTGGCCACAGTGGGAAGGAAAAAGAATCCTTTTTAACAGAAAATAACCTCCAACAGAGCCAGGCTCAGGGAGTGGCAGCCATCTGCCGCGACCATTTCAAGGTTCAAGGTTCAAGGTTCTTTATTTGTCACATGCATAGTTATACAAGTATAACACACAGTGAAATGTAGCCTGACACGCTCCTCGACATGTGCAAAAATTGGGGGGGGGGGGGGGGGGGTGTAGAGGAAGAACATTATATATATATATATATATATATATATATATATATATATAAATAAACACCCAGCACGCCCCTGCGGGCGGTTTATCCTTCAAGCTCGGGTCCTCTACCAGAGGCCTGGGAGCTTGAGGGTCCTGCGCAGTATCTTAGCTGTTCCCAGGACTGCGCTCTTCTGGACAGAGATCTCCGATGTTGTTCCCGGGATCTGCTGGAGCCACTCGCCTAGCTTGGGAGTCACCGCACCTAGTGCTCCGATTACCACGGGGACCACCGTTACCTTCACCCTCCACATCCTCTCGAGCTCTTCTCTGAGCCCTTGGTATTTCTCCAGCTTCTCGTGTTCCTTCTTCCTGATATTGCTGTCATTCGGAACCGCTACATCGATCACTACGGCCGTCTTCTTCTGTTTGTCTACCACCACTATGTCCGGTTGGTTAGCCACCACCATTTTGTCCGTCTGTATCTGGAAGTCCCACAGGATCTTAGCTCGGTCATTCTCCACCACCCTTGGGGGCATCTCTCATTTTGACCTCGGGACTTCCAGGTTATACTCGGCACAGATGTTCCTGTACACTATGCCGGCCACTTGGTTATGGCGTTCCATGTATGCCTTGCCTGCTAGCATCTTGCACCCTGCTGTTATGTGCTGGATTGTCTCTGGGGCATCTTTACACAGCCTTCACCTGGGGTCTTGCCTGGTGTGATAGACCCAGCCTCTATGGATCTTGTGCTCAGAGCTTGTTCTTGTGCTGCCATGATTAGTGCCTCTGTGCTGTCTTTCAGTCCAGCTTTGTCCAGCCACTGGTAGGATTTCTGGATATCAGCCACCTCCTCTATCTGCCGGTGGTACATACCGTGCAGGGGCCTGTCCTTCCATGATGGTTCCTCGTCTCCCTCCTCTTTCTTGGGTTTCTGCTGCCTGAGGTATTCGCTGAGCACTCGGTCAGTTGGGGCCATCTTCCCAATGTATTCTTGGATGTTCATTGTCTCATCCTGGACTGTGGTGCTGACACTCACCAGTCCCCGGCCCCCTTCCTTCCGCTTAGCGTACAGCCTCAGGGTGCTGGACTTGGGGTGAAACCCTCCATGCATGGTAAGGAGCTTTCTTGTCTTTATGTTAGTGGCTTCTATCTCCTCCTTTGGCCAGCCTATTACCCCAGCAGGGTACCTGATCACGGGCAGGGCGTACGTGTTGATGGCCCGGATCTTGTTCTTACCATTCAGCTGACTCCTCAGGACTTGCCTGACCCTCTGCAGGTACTTGGTGGTTGCAGCTTTTCTAGCGGCCTCTTCATGGTTCCCATTCGCCTGCGGGATCCCCAAGTACTTGTAACTGTCCTCTATGTCTGCAATGTTGCCTTCTGGTAGTTCAATCCCCTCAGTTCTGACTACCTTCCCTCTCTTTGTTACCATCCGACTACACTTCTCCAGTCCGAACGACATTCCAATGTCATTGCTGTATAGCCTGGTAGTATGGATCAGTGAATCGATGTCTCGTTCACTCTTGGCATACAGCTTGATGTCATCCATGTACAGGAGGTGGCTGACAACTGCTCCGTTCCGTAGTCGGTATCCGTAACCAGTCTTGTTAATGATCTCACTGAGGGGGTTCAGGCCTATGCAGAACAGCAGTGGGGACAGAGCATCTCCTTGGTAGATCCCGCACTTGATGGTGACTTGTGCTATGGGCTTGGAGTTGGCCTCTAGTGTTGTACGCCACATCCCCATTGAGTTCCTGATGAAGGCTCTTAGGGTCCCATTGATCTTGTACAATTCTAGGCATTCCAGTATCCAGCTGTGGGGCATTGAGTCATAGGCCTTCTTGTAATCAATCCAGGCAGTGCACAGGTTGGTCAGTCTGGTCTTGCAGTCTCGGCTGATTGTTCTGTCTACCAGTAGCTGGTGTTTTGCGCCTCTGGTATTCTTGCCAATTCCTTTCTGTGTCCCGCTCATGTATTGACCCATGTGCCTGTTCATCTTAGCCGATATGATGCCTGACAGGAGCTTCCATGTAGTACTGAGGCAGGTTATTGGTCGGTAGTTGGAGGGGACCGGTCCCTTCTTGGGGTCCTTGGGGATCAGGACCGTCCGGCCTTCAGTTAGCCATTCCGGGTGTCTCTCGTTAACTAGCAGCTGGTTCATTTGTGCTGCCAGACGCTCGTGGAGTGCAGTCAGCTTCTTCAGCCAGTAGGCGTGAACCATGTCGGGCCCTGGTGCTGTCCAACTCTTCATACTGGAGACCCTTTCTTGGATATCTGCCACTGTGATGGTTACTGGACCCTGTTCAGGGAGGTCGCTGTGGTCTGCCCTCAGATCCTCTAGCCACTGAGCATTGCCGTTATGGGTTGCATCCTTCTCCCATATGCTCTTCCAGTATTGCTCCGTCTCCAGCCTTGGTGGTGCTGTTCTCTTATTGTTCCCTTGCCACTGAGAGTAAACCTTTGCTGGTTCTGTGGAGAACAGCTGGTTTATTCTCCTGCCTTCTATCTCTCTGGTGTACCTCCTCAAGCGGCTGGCCAAGGCTGTGAGTCTTTGCTTGGCAGTTTCCAAGGCCTCAGGTATGGACAGCTTGCTGTATTTCTTAGGCACCTTATTTGTCGCACCTTTCTGCAACTCCATTAGTTGGCTAACCTCCCTCCGTGCTACTTTGATCTTGCCCTCTAGCCTCCTTCTCCATGGAGGGTACTGCCCCTTGTCGCTGTTCAACTTGTAGCCAAGCATCTCACTGATCACTGCTGCCGTATTGTAGATCAGCTTGTTAGTGTCGGTAATCGTGGTTGTAGGTATTGCCCGTAGTGCTGCATTAACATCATCTAGCAGACCTTCTGAGGGTACTTCACGTAATCTTGGTAACCGGCTACGGGGGA